CGCTGCTGCTGTAACAGCTGCAATCTCCAGAGCATTAAGGGCCACCCGAGCATCTCCATCACAATTGTTGCTTATATAATCAACAACGTCCTCTTTAACATCAACTTGAATCCCCGCGCTTTGCATCAATCCTCTGTCAGTGTCACTGACAGCGCGGTTTAGAAGCAAGGCAAGGTGGTGGGGTTGGAGAGGGTTAAGGGTGAGGACACGGCAGCGAGACAAGAGAGGTGTAATCAAATGGAAAGAAGGGTTCTCAGTGGTGGCCCCAACGAATACAATGCTGCCGTCTTCAATGACAGGTAAGAAAGAGTCCTGCTGGGACTTGTTGAACCTGTGAACCTCGTCCACGAAGAGAACGGTGGATTGGTTGGATTTAAGTCTGAGTTTTCTGGCCTCGTCAACGGCGTCCCTCACGTCCTTAACGCCACTAGTGACGGCGGATAAGGAGACAAACCGGTAACGTGTTGAGGTTGAAGATTTAACGATGGCTTTGGCGATAGTGGTCTTACCAGTACCAGGTGGACCCCACAAGAGGATGGAGGGGAGGCGGTTGCGTTGGATTGCGGAGCGAAGAAGGGAGTTGGCGGCGAGGAGATGGTCCTGACCTACGACGTCGTCGAGGGTTCTGGGACGCAAGCGCTCGTACAAGGGTTGGTGAATGTGAGTGTTGGCGTGTTTCTTCTCTGCGGTTTTGAAGAAAAAAGGAGGCCAGTTTTGTTGCTGTGGCTGTGGATTCTGCGCAGAAAGTGTAGAAGGCCTGAGACGTTTGGAAGGTTCTTCGTCTTCTTCTTCCTCCTGTGATTGCGATTGTGGAGGTGTGGGGGATTGAGAAAAATGGAAGAAGCGATCAAGTTTGGGCTGGAATGTGGAGGTGTTGGCGGCGTTGGATTTGTGAGTGAGAATCCATTCGGTGGCTTTGACGGTGGATTTACCGCCGGTGGCGGCCAAGGCTTGGGCGGCTAACTCATCGGGGAAGCCCATACTGAGGAGCTGTTGCATCTCCATGTTCTGGATTCAGATTATTGTGAGTCTCAATGCAGTGAAAAAAAATATTCAGTATAATTACTTCTTTTCCTCGTTATTCCTCCACGCCAATGCTTTCTTAGTATATTCCAGAAGGAACCTATGCCCAACATCTTTCTCTTTTCTTCGGGCTAGGTCCGTGGAATACGAATAGTTTTTAATTTTTTTCTTCCATTTTTAAAAATTATTATTTTACGTTTTTATTTCAATTCAATTTTAATTTTAATATTTTAATACATCAGTTATGTATTTTTAATGGGTTTTCACTCTATTTATTTATTTGAATAAATAATGGTTCAATATTGACATATTCCGTTTTTAGCATCATAAAAAATATAATTTTAATATAAAAATTTAATACAGTGATACTGCATTATCTATTATCCCTGGTAAAAACAATCTATCATTTTAATATCATATCATATTATCTGCATATGTTCCAAGAATTTGAGGTTTTTTTTTTCAAATCTTATTATTTATTTGTTTTATTAAAATGTCTCTTTTTCTTAATATTTTTTATAAGAATTTGAAATTTTATTTGGAAAGATAAAGGCTTTTAAATTGAAAAAAAAAAAAAAACATAGAGGTGGTTTAATCAGTTGTGGATTGGCAATGGCCTAAAGCTGCTAACTTTATCCTATTTTGAGGGTGATGGCTTCTCCCGTCGTTCCTGTTCCCGTTCCGATCCCGCGGTGGCCCGAAACCCAAGCGGCGGCGTCACCATCCGCACTCGCCTAAGCCAACTGTGCCAACAAGGGCAGCCTCAGCTGGCTCGCCATCTTCTTGACAGCCTTCCACGCGCCTCCACCGCCGTATGGAACACCATGATCATCGGCTTCATCTGCAACAAGATGCCATTGGAAGCCCTGCAGCTGTACGCGCAGATGATAAAATAAATAAATACGGACTCTTCCTTTCTTATTATTTTTCAGAATTTCTGGTCTGTTTAATTTATCAAAAGTTAACGCAATTTCTCTCTGCACCTCCATAATTTTAATTTTTTATCTCTTTAAATTTTTGTATTTCAAATAATGCAATGTAACATAAATTGTATTTTAAAATATACAATCTAAGATATATTTATATTACAAACTACACAATTTAAAATGTATTTATTTTTATTTTGTATTTTAAAATATATAATGCGAAATATTAAAACTTACATTCAAAATTGTAAATTCCAAAATACAATATTTTATCAAGATAGAGATTGAAATTACGGACATACGGGAAGAAATGACCCTAAGTAATTAAATGTCTTTCAAAATTCAATATCCTTCTTATAATTATATGAAATTGCCACCCTTAGAATTCAGATAGAGAAGATGGTATGTTCCTGTTAACACACTTGGTTTATGTCCCTTTCTATTGCACCACAAAAAACAGAATCAAGGAGAGGAAATCAAGCATTCAACAGAACAGAAATAAAAACAGCGCTCCATGCCCCAAAATGTCAAATGGAACATGGGATTTCTTCACTTAGTGGCTTGGGCAATTATATTACTTATTGAACTGGCTTCCTCCTTGGCAGTCTCCACCAATGAATCCTGAAAACCAATTTCATACCTGTGCAGCTATTAACCGTGCAANATTTGAGGTTTTTTTTTTCAAATCTTATTATTTATTTGTTTTATTAAAATGTCTCTTTTTCTTAATATTTTTTATAAGAATTTGAAATTTTATTTGGAAAGATAAAGGCTTTTAAATTGAAAAAAAAAAAAAAACATAGAGGTGGTTTAATCAGTTGTGGATTGGCAATGGCCTAAAGCTGCTAACTTTATCCTATTTTGTTTTGTAATGTTGTGGATAGATGAAAGATATTTTGGTGGTAGGAATAGGGGAATGGTTGAAGAGGTAATGATGTGAGTGTGAAAACAAGAAGGATATGAGGCTGATGGCTTCTCCCGTCGTTCCTGTTCCCGTTCCGGTTCCCGTTACCGATCCCGCGGTGGCCCGAAACCCAAGCGGCGGCGTCACCATCCGCACTCGCCTAAGCCAACTGTGCCAACAAGGGCAGCCTCAGCTGGCTCGCCAACTTCTTGACAGCCTTCCACGCGCCTCCACCGCCGTATGGAACACCATAATCATCGGCTTCATCTGCAACAAGATGCCATTGGAAGCCCTGCAGCTGTACGCGCAGATGATAAAATAAATAAATACGGACTCTTCCTTTCTTATTATTTTTCAGAATTTCTGGTCTGTTTAATTTATCAAAAGTTAACGCAATTTCTCTCTGCACCTCCATAATTTTAATTTTTTATCTCTTTAAATTTTTGTATTTCAAATAATGCAATGTAACATAAATTGTATTTTAAAATATACAATCTAAGATATATTTATATTACAAACTACACAATTTAAAATGTATTTATTTTTATTTTGTATTTTAAAATATATAATGCGAAATATTAAAACTTACATTCAAAATTGTAAATTCCAAAATACAATATTTTATCAAGATAGAGATTGAAATTACGGACATACGGGAAGAAATGACCCTAAGTAATTAAATGTCTTTCAAAATTCAATATCCTTCTTATAATTATATGAAATTGCCACCCTTAGAATTCAGATAGAGAAGATGGTATGTTCCTGTTAACACACTTGGTTTATGTCCCTTTCTATTGCACCACAAAAAACAGAATCAAGGAGAGGAAATCAAGCATTCAACAGAACAGAAATAAAAACAGCGCTCCATGCCCCAAAATGTCAAATGGAACATGGGATTTCTTCACTTAGTGGCTTGGGCAATTATATTACTTATTGAACTGGCTTCCTCCTTGGCAGTCTCCACCAATGAATCCTGAAAACCAATTTCATACCTGTGCAGCTATTAACCGTGCAATAGTTTTCTTGCTTGACTCCTGAAGCTCACCGGCAATTAGAAGTTCATCCAGTATATAATAGGCCTTCCATGATAAAACAAAACCAAGAACATATGTCAGAACAGAAATTACTTGACCCCAAGAAATGAGGCAGTTGATATGATCAATTATAAATTCCCATTTAAGGCGATTTCAGCTTTGAAGAATAATTCATAATGACAACAGGTTAAAGGTTAAATAAAAAGTAGCCGCAGACAGACAAACAAACCTTGTGGAAATTGAATATCAAGTCCAGTTCACAGACCTGCAAAAGTGAAGCGACCATTAATCCTTACATCCTTCCTAGAAAGAATGAAACTATTTTCATATGTGAATAAAGCAGTATTCTCCAAAAGTCAACTTTGAACAGAACTCACACTGCCAAAATACCGATCAAGAATCTCTACAAAATGATGAATTATTTCAAGGACTTCTAATTCGTTATCCTCTTCATCAATACACATGCAGAAATAAAGACTAGCATACCTGCAGCAAATATTTGTTAGAAAATAGCCAGACAGAAGAGTCTTTTGCAAACGAGTAAGTAGTGGTATATGACAAACGGCCACACACACTTGTTAAATTGCCTTTTATAAACAATATAATGTCCCTGCCATTCTACAAAATTACAGAGCTTGGGAGCACGTGTAAGAACCACGCCACTGATCTCACGAATAGCACGTGTAAAATCATGTATCAAGGATGGTTTAAGTAAGACACAGTAAGCAATCATGCACAGGTCCATCACCGTGCAGGCAGTACAAAGATTACAAGTTAAAGAATAATATGTAGAAGTCAGTCATGAAATAACAAACACCAAAGGGAACGAGGGGAGCTTGGGAAAATTTGAAGAACTAAATAACTAAGTACATGTTTGCCTTTCAGTTAAGAAAACTTTTCTTTTACTCTCGAAAGTTCAATTTCTTCATTATTCGATTTGTACAGTGGAATTGGCAAAAGTACTTCACTAATTTTCTTCCAAACACAGTAATTAGGGTGTCATCTTACCTTATTTCTTTCCTTCTGCGAGTAAGGAGAATACCATTTTGTGAGCCTGACCTTCCCCTGACGACTAATGAGTAGCACAAAGTGTATCTACATTTAAGAAAAGGAGGGATAAAGCAAGTTGAAATTGGAAATACATAACGAAAGAATGTGATAGTAAAAGAATAAAAATGGCGCTTGCAAGGTGTAGATCATAAAAACATGAATGAAAGACAAGTTATTAAGAGTATCTAATCGCAATAGGGAAAAAAGTCCAATTATCCCAACAATCTAATACATATACAAAAAAGACGAAATGAACAACCTTCAAGATTGAGTGTCAAAACACGAAAGCGCGTTTGTCTTGAAACCATGAATCATCATCGTGAAGTCCAGATTTTATGCTAGGCAATCATGTACAGTCCTCTTAAAATGGTTAAGCAATTGGATAAATATATCTCCTTATAACAAATTATTATAAATTGCGAGAGCAAAACATGGTTTTACTTATGACGTGTAAAGATAATCAGTTCAGTAAAATAGGAGTCTTGAAGGAACAAGATCCTGCAATAAAAGTGTAACAAATTTTGAGCCTGTGTTAGCACATAATTCATACATAGTTAAGACAAAACCATTGGGAATCTATATTTTCCATATAATAAAGGACTAATAAAGCAACACCTTGATGTAGACCGTTAGAATCCTATAAACATAATAAACAATAATATTAAGATCAATTGATGTTATGATCAATTAGATTGATTTTATATTATGATATTACCTAAAACAGGGTAACTGAATCTTACGTAATTATGTCCTTTCACCCATAAATTGAATAGCCCTGTTGTGAACTAAACACAGTTTATCCGTATACTGATTTACTCTGGCAGAATTTTAGGCTGTCAATTATCATTTCCTAGCAAAGTTGAGCAATTTATCTCTAATGTTGTGGGGAAACAAAATATCCTACTCTAATTTCATCGAAAAACTTACTTGAAGGCAAACATGTACTCAAGTAAAAAGAACTACCCAACTCTATAAAAATGCAAGGATACTGGTCAATATGTAAATTGCATAAAAGTCTATTTATTCTAAGCTATTTTAATATGCTCTTGAGGATATATCAAAATAAATGTGCATGCAGAGATTAACAAACTTACCAATAAAAATGTCAAGGAGTAATTCCCTTTAAAAGCTTAAGCTGTTCAGTGGAGCTAAAGAAAATTTCATATAAAATCGCCTTAACAACAGCTTCTTGAGCTTGAAGTGCGGACGGAGCACAAACACACATCCCCTGAGTTAATTATGAAGAATAGAAACAACAAGGATCAAACTCACAAGTCCTTATTTATAGAAGTTATGATAACATTTTAAGGACCAACTCTCCAACTCATAATTTGTCAGGTGGAAGTACTTTAACAGAAATGGTTTTGTATTCTTAACAATTAAGTTCTGACGTAGAGACCATTCCAGTTCTCAATTTGGGGTCCTATAAATAAGAATTGTGAAACCAGAATGAACTAGATTTGAATAAAGCTCTAGTGAAACTCTTGAAATGTGCTATCTTTTGGGAAACAAATATTCTTGAATTTCAGTGTCTCCTTTGTTAGTAGATAAATAGTTGATAATCAGTTTTGTGGTGGCAGCATCCACTGAAAAACCCTTGTCTTTCATAATTGCAAGGTATTTTATTGACCTTGCAATCTCCTTTTTTGTCAGCAAGCCTTGGACAAAGACATTGTAAGTGCAGTTATTTGGCGGGCAGTTCTTTTCCATATTCATCAGCAGGTCTTCAGCTTTATCTAACAGTCCTTGTTTACAGAGACCCTTAATCATAATGGTATACGCATAAACGTCAATTTGCAAGCCTTTAGCAGGCAAACTAGAAAACAGTTCCCATGCATCATTCAATTTCCCAGAACTGCATATTCCGTCAAGTAAAATGATATAAATGAAAATATTAAGATCCAAATTACTCTTCTCCATTGCCTCAACCAATGACACTGCCTCAGAAAGGAGATTTCCTTTACACAGGCCATCCAACATAACAGCACAAGTTTGAATATTAGGAACTTTACCATGTTTATGCATATTAAAAAACAGATCTTTCGCAGCTAATGATTGACCTGCTTGACAAAACCCACCTATAAGAGTGGTCCAAGTGACAACATCAGGTACAAATCCCATCTTACCCATTTCCTCCAACAGATACATAGCCTTTTTAATGTTTTTATTCTTGCACCATCCATGGATAAGTGAAGTAAAAACTGCAATGTCCGGTAAACAGTCCCCGTTAACCATAAAATTAAATATTCGCATGGCCTTATTCATTTGGTTTTGCAAACAATAAACGTGAATAAGTGAATTATATGTAAAGACATCCGGTTTCTCACCCATTATAATCATAAACCCAATCACACTTTTAGCCTGCGTTACTTTTCCTTCTTTGCAGAAAGAATCCACTAAAATATTGAGTGTTTGGACATCCGGCTTCATTCCCATTTTCATCATGTCATCCAGAAGAGAACCAACTTCTTTCCATCTTCCAAAATTACAGAGACCTTGAATCAAACAAGTATAGGTGACAAGATTAGGCAAGACATCTTTTGCACCCATTTCAGAGAACAAATTTAATGCCTCATATACCAATCCATCCTTGCACAAACCATCCATAACACTGCTGTAAACTACCACATTAGGTTTCCAATTCCTTTCCTCCATCTTCCTTAACCATCGAACTGCCACCAAAGTGTCTCCCGTCTTACACAACCCATTAACCAACACCCCATAAGTGTATACATCTAATGGATACCCCAATTTCTCCATATGATCAGCCAACACCACTGCCTGAGCCACATTGCCTTGCACACAAAGCCCATTAATGAGATTGGTAAGAGTCATCACAGTGGGCTCCAAACCAAGTTTGAACATGGTCCCCAAGACGGAGAACCCAAAAGATATCAACTTTAAGCGACAAAGACAGTTGATCACAATATTAAGAGTAATGGTATCAGGTTCTATGCCTAGAGCAGAATACATGTGCTTAACCAAAGATATGGCAGTGGTGTAATGCCTCAACCTCACAATAACACCCAACAATAAAGTAAAGTCCTTCACAGAAGGCACAGGCTTCATTCTAGCCATTTTTTGAAACAAGTCCAAAGCTTCATCAAAGTTCTTCACTTGACCTGCCCTGCATTGGTGTCTCATGAAAATCAAGAACTGCGTCCCGTTGCTGTGCGTCTCAGCGTCATCTGTGTGTGTGCTAGTGACTATGGAAGTACCCATCGTGTGAAGAAGACAAGGGAAACTAGAGAGATAGAGAAATCTTGAAGCATTCAAAGTTACTCTTTTGCTTCCGAGCAGCATCAGTGTCAGAAACTATCAAGATCGCGAGTCAACTCGTTAACTCGGAGAAGTTTACCTTCCCATACCCTCAAACCTAGTTGACATCCTGGGCACGCCGGCGTTTCGCCGGAGGCAAACCCAAAACGAGCATGAGACGCGGACGAGAAACACAGTAAAGAATATCGAGATGATGATTAAATCTCACCGGAGATAGCAGCGGCTGCCAAGGGTTCCTACGTCGCACAAAGTTTTGTGAGCTCGACTTTCCCCTGACGACTAATGAGTAGCACAAAGTGTATCTACATTTAAGAAAAGGAAGGATAAAGCACGTTGAAATAGGAAATACACAAAGAAAGAATGTGATAGTAAAAGAATAAAAATGGCGCTTGCAAGGTGTAGATCATAAAAACATGAATGAAAAGACTAGTTATTAAGAGTATCCTAATCGCAATAGGGAAAAAAAGTCCAATTATCCCAACAATCTAATACATATACAAAAAAGACGAAAAGAACAACCTTCAAGATTGAGTGTCAAAACACGAAAGAGCGTTTGTCTTGAAACCATGAATAAACATCGTCAAGTCCAGATTTTATGGATTTTGCGGCAAGAAAAGTGATTCGTGGGGGTGATTTAGTTGGTTTATTGACATGGGTAGTTATAATTGTGCTATGATGCAAAATCTAAGAATTGAATCTAGAAAGTAGGAACAAGAGAAAGATGTCTGAACCAGAATGAGAAAGCTGGATCGAAAATATAGCGTACTTAGAATCTGGAAGAAACATTACCATTTCCCTCGATTCGCTCGCGCCTTCCGCTGCTAGGATTACGCTCCCTTCTCCTACTCCTTCTCTCAAACCTTCGATTTTTACCTTAATGTCATTTCCAAAATAAATCAAAATTTTATACTCTCTGTTTATTGTTCCTCTTTCTTTTCGAGCTCCATTTTTCTGTTTCCACCCCCTACCATTACTACGCGCTACATCATGGGCTCCGCCCATTAAATGAATGCGTTTAATTTAATTGTCGTTTAATTTAATTTTATATGATTATTTGTCAAAAATTATTAAGACTCGTTCTGGTCTCACACTAATCAATTAATTATTCTTAACACAAATTCTAAGTTTTTAAAATATATGAATATATTGTATTCAGTCTCGTAGTGTATATAATACTCTATATTTCTGCATCTCTTTTCTCAGTATTGTACAGCTAATCTGCCATATAATTGTATAATTTAAGCTTTTTAAAATTTTGTCAGTGTAATATGATTGATGATGAAGAGACACGGATAACTATTTTGAATATTTATTTAGTTATATACTAAAAATTAAATTCAGGAAGTTATAAAAAATAAAATAAATCCTAAAAGTTACACTTAAAATAAATTACTGTATTTGGTAACAAAATATTGCATCAGAATCACAATGTTGTAAATTATGAACTATTACAAGGAGAGATGAATGTGAGACGGTATGAAAATACAAGTATTGATTGTCATCCCAATTACAATCCCCTCAGGTGTCGTTGGCGACAAGAATAATGCCATGACTATAACTGCTCCTCTCTTGAATTTTGCCTGAACACAAACACGCGTTAATCAAGTTATTACACGAAGATCTGATGTCAAAGTTGTTTTGTCTTTCGACATCAGGTTCATCGAAAGAGATATAATATCAATAAAATTTAATATATAAATTTTTTTTTATCTAAAATCTTAAAATAATGAGTTTCACTTTTATACAGTGTACTCTACTTTTTGAATGTATATAATATGAGACTTAAACTCAGGATTATCAACAAAAGTCTATAATATCATCTCATATTATCTGCATATGTTCCAAGATTTGAGGTTTTTTTTTTCAAATCTTATTATTTATTTGTTTTATTAAAATGTCTCTTTTTCTTAATATTTTTTATAAGAATTTGAAATTTTATTTGGAAAGATAAAGGCTTTTAAATTGAAAAAAAAAAAAAAACATAGAGGTGGTTTAATCAGTTGTGGATTGGCAATGGCCTAAAGCTGCTAACTTTATCCTATTTTGTTTTGTAATGTTGTGGATAGATGAAAGATATTTTGGTGGTAGGAATAGGGGAATGGTTGAAGAGGTAATGATGTGAGTGTGAAAACAAGAAGGATATGAGGCTGATGGCTTCTCCCGTCGTTCCTGTTCCCGTTCCGGTTCCCGTTACCGATCCCGCGGTGGCCCGAAACCCAAGCGGCGGCGTCACCATCCGCACTCGCCTAAGCCAACTGTGCCAACAAGGGCAGCCTCAGCTGGCTCGCCACCTTCTTGACAGCCTTCCACGCGCCTCCACCGCCGTATGGAACACCGTCATCATCGGCTTCATCTGCAACAAGATGCCATTGGAAGCCCTGCAGCTGTACGCGGAGATGAAGTCGAGGCGGAACACGGCTTCCGATGGGTACACCTTCTCTTCCACCCTGAAGGCCTGCGCCCTTACCCAAAACCTCATGGCCGGTAAGGCCCTTCATTCCCATTTCCTTCGCTCCCAATCCAACTCCCGAGTCGTCTACAACTCCCTCTTGAACATGTACTCCGCATGCTTGCCCCCTTTCTCTACCCAACCCCAACACGACTACGTCCTCAAACTGTTTGCTGTAATGCGCAAACGAAACATTGTCGCTTGGAACACCTTGATTTCCTGGTTCGTCAAGACCCACAGACACTTCGATGCTCTTCGCGCCTTCGCCACCCTCGTCAAAGCCTCTCTCACGCCAACCCCCGTTACATTCGTCAATGTCTTCCCCGCTGTCAGTAATCCTACAACCGCCCTTATGATTTATGGCCTGCTTCTTAAACACGGTGCTGACTTTGTCAATCACGTCTTTGCTGTTAGCTCCGCAATTGTTATGTTTGCTGACCTTGGTTGCTTAGACCACGCCAGGATGGTTTTCGACTGCTGTTCTAACAAAAATACCGAGGTCTGGAACTCCATGATTGGCGGTTATGTTCAAAATAATTGTCCCCTTTTAGGGATCGACGTGTTCGTTCAAGCTTTGGAGTCAGAGGAGGCTGTGTGCGATGACGTCACTTTCCTGTCTGTTATATCTGCTGTTTCCCAGCTGCAGCAAATAAAATTGGCTCGGCAGATACATGCATTTGTTCTAAAAAGTTTGGCAGTTACTCCCACTATTGTTGTCAATGCAATCATTGTGATGTACTCCAGATGCAGTTCCGTGGATACTTCCTTTAAGGTTTTTGAAAAGATGTCTGAAAGGGATGCTGTTTCGTGGAATACGATAATTTCTTCCTTTGTCCAGAATGGTTTGGATGAGGAAGCACTGATGCTTGTGTGTGAGATGCAGAAGCAGAGGTTTATCATCGATTCTGTCACTGTGACGGCATTACTCTCTGCGGCTTCTAACATGAGGGACTCGTACATTGGAAGGCAAACACATGCGTATCTAATTCGCCATGGGATACAGTTTGAGGGTATGGAGAGTTATCTGATTGACATGTATGCTAAATCTGGCTTGATAACGACTTCCGAGTTATTGTTTGAGCAGAACGGCCCAAGTGATAGAGATCTGGCCTCATGGAACGCTATGATTGCTGGTTATGCTCAGAATGGACTCGGTGACAAAGCTATTCTCATTCTTAGGGAGGCATTGGTGCGCAAGGTAATGCCTAATGCAGTGACATTAGCGTCGATTCTCCCATCTTGTAGTTCCATGGGAAGCACGACCCTTGCTAGGCAACTTCATGGATTCTCCATACGTCAGTTGTTGGACCAAAATGTTTATGTGGGAACTGCTTTAGTGGACGCTTATTCAAAATCGGGTGCAATCAGTTATGCGGAAAATGTTTTTATCAGAACACCGGAGAAGAATTCTGTCACGTACACCACAATGATAATGAGCTATGGTCAGCATGGAATGGGTAAGAGAGCCCTTGCCTTGTATGATTCCATGCTGAGATGCGGGATTAAGCCCGATGCAATTACTTTTATTGCCATCCTTTCTGCCTGCAGTTATAGTGGTTTGGTTGAAGAAGGTCTTCACATATTTGAGTCGATGGATAAAGTACATAAAATCAAGCCCTCAACAGAACATTATTGTTGTGTTGCAGACATGTTAGGAAGGGTTGGGAGGGTGGTCGAAGCTTATGAGTTTGTTGAGAGACTGGGTGAGGACGGTGATGCAGTAGAAATCTGGGGATCTATTCTTGGAGCCTGCAAAAATCATGGGTACTTTGAACTGGGAAAAGTTGTTGCAGAAAAGTTGCTTAATATGGAATTGGAAAAAAGGATTGCTGGATATCATGTTCTGCTCTCAAATATCTATGCAGAGGAGGGAGAATGGGAAAATGTTGATAGAGTGAGAAATCATATGAAGGAAAAAGGTTTGCAAAAGGAAATGGCATGCAGCTGGGTTGAAATTGCTGGGTCTGTGAACTACTTTGTAGCTAGAGATGAGAAGCACCCTCTAAACGGTGAGATATATTATATCTTGGACATATTGACTAGGGACATGATGGATGTTGGTTATAAGCCAGGCTACAATTCAAACTTAAACGGGATTTTGGAATCAAGTGACTGAAATGAAATAAATTATGCCAATCTTTATCAAATTAGATGTGGGTTAGGTTTGATTATCACCAACGATACCCGCATGAGTTCATCCAGTGTGCACATTGATGAAAAACATATTCAATTCTTCATGCACAGCACGGTTGTGCAGCTGAATAGTGACAATTTTGATTCTACTTTTTGCTCATGAATCAACAAATGCGCTGTGGTTATTACTTCAATACAGGTATAGTTCTTCAACTCGACACTTTTTTACATGATGTAGCATTTAAGTGCAGCATTTGGCGGTGGTCACTGATCAGGGCACAGTTTGAATGAACGGAAACCGAATAATTAAGAACCGAATGAAGTGTTTTATATGATAGTGGAGATGCTATCTCATGAACAAGTCTACGAGGCTTATGATACATTAATTTGAGAGATTGGGATAGTGGTAATAATTAGAGGCAAAAGGTCAGGAATATCTGTGTTGAGGCAAACTGCAACTGTTGTTATTATGGAGGAGCAGCAGCAACAACAAGACCCTTCCCTCTCCTTGAGCGAAGTTAACCACGATGGTATTGATAGAGATAAGGGTGTTACAGAGCAAGACCCATCTTCTTCAGAACCCCTTATTTGCGACGAGGAGAAAATGGCATTGCAAGAGGCTGCAATGATCGATGGTGTTGCTAAAGAAAGTAGTATAGCAGAGGGTTTAGAAGAGGATAGTGGACGCGAGAGAGGTCACATATGTAATGTAAATAACTTTCAGCCTCTGGGAATTAATTATGCTAATGTTTTTTCAAGGAAAAAAAAAGTTGTTGGGGTTAAAAAGATGCATCATTTCTAACTTAAGCATATTCGATTGCAACAAATGCCAACGATTTAAACGAACCCAATTTCAAAATAATAACATTTTAATTATATATATTTTATTTTTGATTTAAAATGTTAATACATATTATTATCTATATTATTATATAAAGATGGCGAGTCTTCTTTTTTATATCTAATTATTTATATTTTATTTTATAATTATAATTTTATTATTCTTTATTATTACAAAAGTGAAAATGCTTGCTAAATATTAAAATAGTTTGTAAAATAAGTTTATGTTTTGTGTTTTTAAGATGAATTTGAGGAGTAAATTTAAGTGAACTTTTGGAAAAGAAAAGCGGTGAAAAGTTAGATTATTTTAATTAAAAAATAAATGTGAAAAATGAAGAAAAATTATTGAAACATTTATAAAATTTATTGATTGAAAAAATATTTTAATTAATAAAATTAAATACTTATTACTTTACCTTTAATCATAAAATAATTTAAAATAAAATATTGTTAATGTAAATTGTATTAAAATAAATGGTTAAATATGTTTTTAGTCCCTAAACTATTGGCCGTTTCTGGTTTTCGTCCCTCTTCCAAACTAAGGTACGATTTGGTCCTCAATCTTTAAAAAACGTTCGTTTTAGTCGAAAAAACGAACGTTTTGAGGACTAAAACGAGGACTAAAAACAAAATTTTGAGGACTAAAACGAACGTTTTTTTAAAGAATGAGGACCAAATCGTACCTTACTTTGAAAGAGGGACGAAAACCAGAAACGGCCAATAGTTTAGGGACTAAAAACATATTTAACCCTAAAATAAAATGTGAATTATTATTTTAAATAAAAAATTTAAAATTGATGGAATTATATTAAAATAAAATGAAATTGATAAAAATTAAATGAAAATAAATTGTGAGTGATTAATTTAAATAAAAATAAGTAATACTTTATATATTTAAAATTATTTATTATTATTATTATTATTATTAATCTAGGCTTAACCAGTCCTGTTCCAACTAAACAAAAATCAATCAAATATATTCAAAAGGCACATATAATAATCAGGATCTTAGTTGAAGTTGTGCAGCATCTTTGCAATATCCCGAAGTTCATTGTCGATACAAACCCAACTCAGAAAGATGGAGGGACAACACAGAATCTATTTCAACAAGGAGAATTGATTCACCAGAATCTTTGATAGTCAATGCATTCCAGACTTATTCACCAGAATCGGTTCTCCATATTGCCCATTCTAAACCCCCCACCCAAACTAAATCATTCCTCGCACATCCACAACAATCAAATCAATGACAATATCCATTGAAGCTTCATTCTACATGTTAAGAGTGTGATAGGAAAATGGAAAGAGTATCTTTTTGCCTTAGTCATAAATATGGAACAACATCATTCGAAGAAATATATTGTGCATGGAATAATACATAGGATTGATTAGAATAAGGATAGCTAAACCTGATTCATTACGTAATCAATCAAACGTCCAAACGAAGAGTAGGAACATCCACCTTCCAACAATGTCTTCCTGCTATTTTCACTCGCTTCCACCACTCTCTTCCTTTTCTCATCATTAATCTCCACCAAATTCCTTATTCCGTTTTCTATCTGCTCCGCACTCAAAACGCTGGGAGTTTCATTCTTCGACTCACCCCTGTAATCCAACGAAATCTCCGAAGCAATCTCCAGCTCACGCACCAGTAAAAATGCGTTCGTCTGTTGTTCGGCGTAGAGCGGCCAGGTCGCAATGGGCACACCAAAATGTATGCTCTCAAGGGTAGAATTCCAGCCGCAGTGAGAAACAAACCCTCCGGTGGCTCGGTGGGCCAGTATTTGGGCCTGAGGGGCCCATCCAATTACCTTTCCAATCCCAGCCGTCCGATCTAAGAAGCCCGCGGGTAAAATCGAAGGCAATTCGGAGGGAGCGTAATCAGAGGGCGGGATGAAAAAAGAGCCCTTGGGTGGAGGTTTCCGCAGGGACCAGAGGAAACGGGCCCCACTGTTTTCAAGAGCCCGTGCAATCTCCCTCACCTGATCCTCACCAAAAGAACCCATGCTCCCGAAGCACATGAACACAACGGAGGAAGGGGGTTGGTTGTCAAGCCAATCGAAGATGTCAGCGTTGTCGGCGGGAGCGTCTGGATGGAGCTTGGGCTTTGGGTTTAGAATGGGTCCCACTGCAAAAACGAGCTGAGGCCCGTCAAGGAAAGAGTGTGCCGCATGGGATTCTAGCTCCTCGAATGAATTTACTATGAAGCCGTTAGCTTTCTTGAGGCCCCTCCCGTAGGCCACGAAAAATTCCTCCCACTCCTTCCACAGCACTATGGAAGGGAAATTCCGTATTGGGACTGGCTTCGCGAAACTCGGGATGACCCACTCGGCGTCGGGTTCGGTGAACTCGGCGTTCTCCTCTTCCTTGAGGGTGTGAAGATGAAGTATCAAACCAAGGAAGGCAAGACCAGAGGTGAAGAAGACGAGTGAAGGGACGTGGAACTCTTTGGCGACATCGATCATGCTGGTGCAGAACATGTCGACGACGAAGGCCGCGAGTGGGGGCGTGGGGCTGAGGTTGGAGACGGCTTCTTTGACGTTTGGCTTTTGAAGTTCGATTAGTGTCATCGGAATTGCTGGGGCGTCGGATGGAGTTTCCGGGAGGTTGACGAGCTGAAGACGGTGGGAGTTAAGGGAATGAGTGTAAGCAGCGGTTGTGGTGTCAGATGGTAGTTTGATTACTAAGAGGGTGATCCAGATATGGTGGTGGCGCTCCAACAGAAGGTTGGCGAACTGAATGGTGGAGCCGAGATGACCCACTCCCGGACCAGGGATGAAGACGAGTCGTGCAGCTTTCTCCATGTTGCTGACTCGCTCACTCACTCACTCGGAAGCTGTGGTGTGTGTGGAATTATTGAGATGGAAGTCATTGGAAGGATAAGGGGAAGGAAGATCTTATAGGAAGAAACTTAAGGACAGCATTGTTTTGTGATGGATTTTTGGAGTGCACGGAACGACTGGTCTGCTGGTCCCAAAATTCTATTACCAGTTCTTGCCATTGCCATATGGAATCTTTTTTTTTTCTTTTTATACTCTCGAATATTAATAAAATCGAAATAAAATATGACATTAAATAATAATTATACATAATAACGTTTACCATTTTTAGAAATGTTAAGAAGTAAAATATTCCATTAATTTGAGTGAACATTAAAAGCGAAGGAAGATTTATAGAATGAAAGTTCCTTTCAAACAAAACAAAGTAAAGGAAAAGAGAAAATAATTTTTTGGCATAATACCCAATTTTGTTCCCATTTTGGTTCGGAAATCTCAAGTTAGTTCCTTTATAGAAAAGTGAATTGAATGGATCCTTACTTGTAATTAATTGATTCTAATGAGTCTCTAGGAAACGGAGTTAGTGAACTGATGATGTGGTAGTTGTCTTTGGTGAGGTGTCAATACGCAATTGTTTGCGTGCTTACGTGGTGTTAGGGTTCCCCATTTTCAAATTGGGTTGTATTAAAAATTGGGGATAAAGGATTTGGGGCTGGCTCACATACTTAATGATCCCAGCACTCTTCGTCAGACACTTGAAGCTACAAGGAACCCTGAGATCATGCGCGAAATGATGAGGAATACAGACAGAGCAATGAGCAACATCGAATCTTCTCCTGAGGGATTTAACATGCTGAGACGCATGTATGAAAATGTTCAAGAACCATTTTTAAATGCCACGACAATGGCTGGTAATGCCGGAAATGACGGTGCAGCGGCTAGGAACCAATCAACTAATCCCTCCACTGCTAATTCTGAAGCAACTTCCCCTGTACCCAATACGAACCCACTTCCTAATCCATGGTCCTCTACTGGAAGTAAGTTTTCTTACCACAATTTTCTCCTCAGATAGTGACTGAATGCCCCTTTTTTGGTCTATTTTCTAGCTGGTAGCTATGTTGTTCACTGGATTGTGAATTTTGCTGATCTGTTTGATGTTGTATTTGCAGCTGGAGGTGGTCAAAATAACACCAGAAGGTCAACTCCTGCTGGTGGGGATGCTCGACAGCAGGCACCCGCTGGATTAGGAGGGCTTGGACTGCCTGATCTTGAAGGCATGTTGGGTGGAATGCCGGATGCTGCTATGTTGACCCAGTTAATGCAAAATCAGCCCCAAATCCTTTATCCCCAATTTTTAATACAACCCAATTTGAAAATGAGAACCCTAACACCACGTAAGCACGCAAACAATTGCGTATTGACACCTCACCAAAGACAACTGCCACATCATCAGTCCACTAACTCCGTTTCCTTCTATTTAACGGAAGGGACTCATTAGAGTCAATTAATTACAAGTAAGGATCCATTAAACTCACTTTTCTATAAAGGGACTAACTTGAGATTTCCAAACCAAAGTGGGGACAAAATTGGGTATTATGCCTAATTTTTTCAAGGTATCTAATAAATTAAAAGTCTACGTATTAGAAAATAAAAAATAACTAAATATATATATGGTAATTAAATTTGATAAATCTAAAATTTATATTTTTTACAACACAAAAAAAATGTATAAAAGATTAAAAGAAATGTATAACGAAAACTACAAAACAAACGTAAAGTTAAAAAATTGTAAATTCGATGAACTGGGAAAAATACTTCAAAAAGAGAATAAAAATTTTGTATCCGAATTTTTTTAAAATAAAATAAAGGGCAAAAGTTAATAGTCAAAATAAATCTTTTAAATTCCAGAATATGTTAATTATCTAAACCGGAAACAAATACAATAAAGACATGAGATGATAAAATAAATAAATACGGACTCTTCCTTTCTTTTTAATTTTAAGAATTTCTGGTCTGTTTAATTTATCAAAATGGTGCAGAGCAATTTCTCTCTGCACCTCCATAATTTTAATTTTTATTTCTTCAAATTTTTTATTCCTAATAATGTAATATAAATTTTATTTTAAAATATACAATCTAAAATATATTTATATTACAAACTACACAATTTAAAATGTATTTATTTTTATTTTGTATTTTAAAATATATGATGCGAAATATTAAAACTTACATTCAAAATTGTAAATTCCAAAATACAAAATTTTATCAAGATAGAGATTGAAATTTCGGAGATCCGGGAAGAAATGACCCTTTAAGTAATTAAATGTCTTTCAAAATTCAATGTCCATAGCAATCTTGCCTGAAAAAAATGAACTATACGTAAGAAATAGCCAACCTTAGAATTCAGATAAAGAAGATGGTATGTTCCTGTTAACAAACACAATTGGTTTATGTCCCTTTCTATTGCACCACAAAAAACAGAATCAAGGAGAGGAAATCAAGCATTCAACATAACAAATAAAAACAGGGCTCCATCCCCCAAAATGCCAAATGGAACATGGGATTTCCTCACTTAGTGGCTTGGGCAATTATATTACTTATTGAACTGGCTTCCTCCTTGGCAGTCTCCACCAATGAATCCTGAAATCCAATTTCATATAAAATTGCATCAGACAGAACTCTCGAGGAAGAAACTGCGGACACAAATATTTCTGAACGAGAAAGAACATTGCATACCTGTGCAGCTATTAACCGTGCAATAGTTTTCTTGCTTGACTCCTGAAGCTCACCGGCAATTAGAAGTTCATCCAGTATATAATAGGCCTTCCATGATAAAACAATACCAAGAACATATGTCAGAACAGAAATTACTTGACCCCAAGAAATGAGGCAGTTGATATGATCAATTATAAATTCCCATTTAAGGCGATTTCAGCTTTGAAGAATAATTCATAATGACAACAGGTTAAAGGTTTAAATAAAAAGTAGCCGCAGACAGACAAACAAACCTTGTGGAAATTGAATATCAAGTCCAGTTCACAGACCTGCAAAAGTGAAACGACCATTAATCCTTACATCCTTCCTAGAAAGAACGAAACTATTTGCATATGTGAATAAAGCAGTATTCTCCAAAAGTCAGCTTTGAACAGAACTCACACTGCCAAAATACCGATCAAGAATCTCTACAAAATGATGAATTATTTCAAGGACTTCTAATTCGTTGTCCTCTTCATCAATACACATGCAGAAATAAAGACTAGCATACCTGCAGCAAATATTTGTTAGAAAATAGCCAGACAGAAGAGTCTTTTGCAAACCAGTAAGTAGTGGTATATGACAAACGGCCATACACACTTGTTAAATTACCTTTTATAAACAATTTTATGTCCCCGCCATTCTACAAAATTACAGAGCTTGGGAGCACGTGAAAGAACCATGCCACTAATCTCACGGATAGCCTTGTAAAAAAAATAAATTACATGTAAAATCATGTATCAAGGATGATTAAAGAACCATGTCACTAATCTCACGGATAGCCTTGTAAAAAAATAAATTACGTGTAAAATCATGTATCAAGGATGATTTACGTAGGACACAGTGAGCAATCATGCACAGGTCCATCACTGTGCTCGCAGTACAAAGATTACAAGTTAAAGAATAATATGTAGAAGTCAGTCATGAAATAACAAATACCAAAGGGAACGAGGGGACCTTGGAAAAATTTGAAGAACTAAATAACTAGGTACATGTTTGCATTTCAGTTAAGAAAACTTTTCTTCTACCCTTTCTTCATCATTCAATTTGCACAGTGGAACTGGCAAAAGTACTTCACTAATTTTCATCCAAACACAGTAATTAGGGTGTCAGCTTACCTTATTTCTTTCCTTCTGCGAGTAAGGAGAATACCATTTTGTGAGCCTGACCTTCCCCTGACGACTAATGAGTAGCACAAAGTGTATCTACATTTAAGAAGAGGAGGGATAAAGCACGTTGAAATTGAAAATACGTAAAGAAAGAATGTAGATCATAAAAACATGAATGAAAAGACAAGTTATTAGGAGTATCCTAATCGCAATAGGGGAAAAAGTCCAATTATCCCAAAAATCTAATACATATACAAAAAGGACGGAAAGAACAACCTTCAAGATTAAGTGTCAAAACACGAAAGAGCGTTTGTGTTGAAACCATGAATCATCATCGTCAAGTCCAGATTTTATGGATTTTGCGGCAAGAAAAGTGATTTGTGGGGTGATTTAGTTGGTTTATTGACATGAGTAGTTATAATTGTGCTATGATGCAAAATCTAAGAATTGAATCTAGAAAGTAGGAACAAGAGAAAGATGTCTGAACAAGAATGAGAAAGCTGGATCGAAAATCTAGCGTACTTAGAATCTGGAAGAAACTTTACCATTTCCCTCTATTCGCTCGCGCCTTCCTCTGCTAGGATCACGCTCCCTTCTCCTTCTCCTTCTCCTTCTCCCAAACCTTCGATTTTTACCTTAATGTCATCTCCAAAATAAATCAAAATTTTATACTTTCTGTTTATTGTTCCTCTTTCTTTTGGAGTTCCATTTTTCTGTTTACACCCCCTACCATTACTACGCGCTACTCAATGGCTCGGCCCATTAAACGAATGCGTGTAATTTAATTGTCGTTTAACCTTTATATTTAATTTTATATGATTATTTATCAAAAATTATTAAGACTGCTCTCACACTAATCAATTAATTATTCTTAACACAAATTCTTATTTTTTAAAATATATGAATATATTCTATTCTGTCTCGTAGTGTATAGAATACTCGTTAATGTTAATTTCTGCATCTCTTTTGTTATTATTGTACAGCTAATTTGTTATATAATTGTATAATTTAAGTTTTTTAAAATTTTGTCAGTGTAATATGATTGAAGATGATAAGACACGGATAACTATTTTGAATATTTATTTAAGAAAGACTTAAAACAAATTACTATATTTGGCAACAAAATATTGACATCAGAATCGCAATGTTGTAAACTATGAACTATTACAAGAAGAGATGAATGTGAGACGGTATGAAAATACAAGTAGATGTATATATATACAAGAGTGGGCCTAGGCCCATTTTGCAAGAAGTGACATGCAGCCAGCCCCAATAAGCAAAGATGCGTTAACTCCGATCTGAAGCTTGATACTTGCTTGGATCTTCGGATTCATTAAATCGGGTGCAAGAAGGTCCACCAGTGACATGTAAATCAAGATACCTGCTGATGCTGCGTTAAGAATACCTTCCACAATCAGAGCCGTTGGACTTTCTTTCTCGTATCTACCACTAATTATCATACCAATTGCAATCCCCACAGGTGTCGTCAGCGAAAAGAACAATGCCATAACTATAACTGCTCCTCTCTTGAATTTTGCCTGAACACAAAACACCGTTACTTAAGTTATTACACGACAGATCTTATGTCAAACTTCATACTATAATGTCTAATAAAAAATAACAGTATCATTACACACTCTTATAGCAAGGGATAAAATGATACTTTCACACACATAAATTTTTATATTCATTTCAGACTACTCTTTCTTAAAAAATAATATTTTAACAGACATAAAGATATTTTAGATTCATTTAATATTGTCTTCCTTTATTTTAATTAAAAAAATATAAAAATACACTTTTTATGACTATTTTATCTCTGTACTATGTGTTAAATAAATGTAAAAGTATGTCATCATATTTATTTTTTAATTTTCTATTTCTTGGAAAAATATAAAAGTGTAAACTTTTATAATTATTGTACCCTACTGTTATAAAATGAATGTAAATATGTGTGGTGATAGCATTATAAAATGAATGTCTAATAAGCTAAAACACGATTGCAAACATAACTCTGCCGACACGGTTCTCTGGATGACTGGAATGAGAACCGTAGTCATGTTACTTTGAATGTTCGTATTCAGTAGAATCTTTAAGCAGTATACGCTGGCTAATGCACACCACAAGTAAACTATTTTTGGTGTCGGGTACGTTTTTATTCAAGCCAAGCGATTTGCATCCAATACCATCACATGTCTACACAGATAAAGCATTGAAAATGAAAGACATTAATTAATTGATTGCTTAGTACAGACACGGTTCATACTTGTTTCGATATTGGTTTTGAAAAATTACTGATTATGGATGTTTTTCTAAGCAGTTAAATCTATATTCGATGTTAATCTTAAATTCATCGACGTTAAACAGTTTTCACCGCGTAAAATTAAAAACAAAATTAATATAAACGAAAAAAAGTTGAGACAAACATGCATGGTTCAGACGGAGACACGCCGTATAACTCGTCCAACAACATTGACTTTTCATCGGAAGTTTTGAAATATTTGAAATAATATTATTTAAGTACAAAAACCTATTATTATTATTAGGACATTTTTAAAAGAAGAATTAATATGTTAAAGTCGATATATATACATATTCAGTTTACGTGTTTTGGTGCTTATAATTTGGAATCTACATGATTAGGACATCTAAAGAATTCAGTTTCCAAAAACTTTACGATTACAAATCAATGAGCAAAAGAATAAACAAAATTGCAATACCTGTGAGATGGAACCACCGA